GCAAAATACGTGTTTTGGGACTTTTTCAAAAAGGTTAATGTTCTTCACAGGGAAACTGTGTTAAGTATTAATACTTATTTTCGAGATGAAAATAAAAATTTTGTTATTTTGTGAAATGTTACTCAGAATCAGATGTAATTTCTAGAGCTATCATGATATATTTTAGAGAACTAAAAAAATTGAGTCATTGTCACAAACTATGATTTTCTAATCTCTATATCTTTGTAATCAAATGCCGTAGACCTTTAATATTTCAAACTATGAATTCTGTTAGATGAAAAAATCCAAGTTTTAAATATCAAAGGTTTACACCATCATCAGGTGGAAAAATATAGGTATTAGAAAATCAGAGTTTGTTACAAAGACTTTACTAATGTAAGTGAAACAAATTTTATTGCGTCGTACGTACTCTCATATAAAATACTTTAATATTACTTTAGAGCTTAAAGATTTACTTGGAAGCTTTATTATAGATTTTTCTTTAGATAACTTAACGAGTATATTAGAAAGCAAAACTCACGCTAAAAAAAACGCTGATATTTCTTAAATATTGTGTTACTATATAAAGGTTAAAATTCACCAATTATGAGACACCACAATTAAAAAAAATCTATTTTTAGAATAAAAAAAACATTTTTGCTCAATCGTAGGTACTGTTGTGAATTGGGCATACCCTTCTGCAAATGGGAGTTCAATTACAACAATTACTTTAAGCAAGATAGAAAAAATGGGGGGGGGGAATAGAAAAATGTAGCATTATCTGCTGCCATGATTAGTACAATCTTTATTATATATGTTTTGTTATCTATTATATCTTTGTTGATGTTGACCCTGACCGGCCAGTCCGATCAGCTATATTCACCTGTATTAATAAATTAGTAATATATGAAACGTTGATTTAAACGGACGTGTACAGAGCCTTGAGTTTTGGCTAGAGATACAGTCAGAGAGACTAAATAAGAATAAGAGTCGAGTAATCTCGGACCTAGATTTATTACACAAATGGTACTTTCTGCAACATTGTAAAGTTTGTTCGAGTATTCAGAAAAACAAATATAAGTACACACACTATGAAGTTTATTTCTCAATAACATCTGTATATCTTCCCTCTGTCTAGGTTGAGAGACTGTTAAATTTTCTCCCTGTCTAGGTTGAGAGACTGGTAAATTTTCTCCCTGTCTAGGTTGAGAGACTGGTAAATCTCCTTCAGAGCAAAAGCAAGAAAGCCTGGTGCTGTGTGAGTCTGTGTAATGTATAAATGTAAGAATTGATGGCTCGTATCTAGGTGACAAAACGGTTCCCAATACAACCTTGATATCTCTAGATCTGAGGATAGGATTAGAACTAGAGAACTCAAGGGATTATTCAACCCAAGCTGAGAGGTTAGATTCTAAACTTAATAACAAGGTTGAGCTACCGCCCCGGGTATTATAGAACTATGATAATACAAATACAAAACTCACAAGGAAGAATAAAATTGGTTGTTTTTATGGAATTATTAGAATTAAGAAAATAAATGCGCCCAGAATCCAAAAAAAAATACAACCAGAATCCGAAATAAATGCATCTAGAATCTGGAAATAAATGGACCTAGAATCTGGAAATAAATGGACCTAGAATCTGGAAATAAATGCACCTAGAATCTGGAAATGAATAAACGCAGAATCACAAATAAATGCACCTAGAATCTGGAAATAAATGGACCTAGAATCTGGAAATAAATGGACCTAGAATCTGGAAATAAATGGACCTATAATCTGGAAATAAATTCACCTAGAATCAGAAATAAATACACCTAAAATCCGGGAATTCTTAAATGTGGTCGTCGTCCTTTTATCTTCAAAGAGATGAAGGTTAAAAACATTCTCTCCTTTGGTTAATTTGATATATTGAACCTACTCGAATATTTTCAGGTTGCTGGTAATGTAGGAGAAACCAATGGAAGTCAATTGATACTTGAAGAAAATTTTATAATGTAAATAAACAAGTGTCATATATGGAGTAGGAACAGATTCTGGGAAGATTGTATATAAAGTAGGGACGGATATTGGAAGGATTGTATACTGAGTAGGGACGGATACTGGAAGGATTGTATATGTAGTAGGGACGGATACTGGAAGGATTGTTTATGTAGTAGGGACGGATACTGGAAGGATTGTATATAGAGTAGGGAAGGATACTGGAAGGATTGTATATGGAGTAGGGACGGATACTGGAAGGATTGTATATGGAGTAAAGACGGATACTAGAAGGATTGTATATAGAGTAATGACAGGTACTGGAAGGATTGTATATAGAGAAGGGACGGATACTGGAAGGATTGTATATGGAGTGAGGATTGATTCTGGAAGGATTGTATATAGAGAAGGGACGGATACTGAAAGGATTGTATATGGAGTGAGGATGGATACTGGAAGGATTGTATATGGAATAAAGACGGATACTGGAAGGATTGTATATAGAGTGAGGATGGATACTGGAAGGATTGTATATAGAGAAGGGACGGATACTGAAAGGACTGTATATGGAGTGAGGATGGATACTGGAAGGATTGTATATAGAGAACGGACAGATACTGGAAGGATTGTATATGGAGTGAGGATGGATTCTGGAAGGATTGTATATAGAGAAGGGACGGATACTGAAAGGATTGTATATGGAGTGAGGATGGATACTGGAAGGTTTGAACCTGAACTCTGCCAGGTTCCAGTAGTTGGCACACAAGCAATTCAAGCAAAAACTGAAGAGTAAGATCTCCTTTACCAGGATAAACTCACAAAAGCATTGTTGTGGAAAATTAAAACAAGAACAAGAATAGGGTTGGAACAACTCACAGGTCAAGAGCAGAGAAATCAAAGAATAGTGCAAAAACTGGGAGAAGATAAAAAAACTTATGATTACAAAATAATAAAAATCAGTAACCACGTGCGTCATATAAGAATGCATTTTCAATTCAGACAGTCTTTTTCCCTGTGCATGTAACTAAAAATGTACTAAAAAATAAAACTGTACATCAAATAAACAATTATAAATTTGGGATTATTATATAATATACTAGCGTTACTCAAGGTTACTCATAGTTACTGTTTATCCACACATGGTTGTAAATTACTATGGTAGCTATTTTTCCTGAGAAAAGTCGATCCACTCAACTTAGAATCTCAAAACTAAGCTAAGAAAATTCCCGTGGCTTTCCCGAGTTCCCCAATCAAAATTTGAGGCAAATAGGTCCAGGGGTTTTTGAGTTATGATCGGAAAAACAAACAGCGATTACAACTTTATATATACAGATATATCAAGAAATATGAATCCTAACAAAAATTAAAAAATCTCTATAAATGTTCATCAAGGCATGCTGCACAAAAAGTAGGCTAACTTAAAAGTCATGCCTTCCTACAAGTAGGAGTTAGAAGGAATGTGAATTAACATCTTGACATATCTTGTCCAATCTTTAATTTTCAAAATCTTCTACTGACAAAGAAAGGAATGGAGCCTTTACTACAAACTCTGAATTTATAATCCTTATCTTTGAAACCCAATGTTTTAAATCTTTGTTGATATTTCAAACTTATATTATTTGATCTAACAGAATTCATAGTTGAAATAACTATAGGTCTACGACATTGGAATCCAATAATATAAGGTTTAGAAAAGCAGAGTTTGTGGCAAAGACTCAATTCCTTTGAAATAGATCTAACTTCCATTGTGGAAAATCTAAAATTGAAGGATGAATGCTTGATCGCCGAATTATGCTTATCCCTGCAATGATTGGCCATCACGGGATATTGAAAAGGAATTAAATTAATCTGTTTGGCTCCATAATTCTCAATTCTTGATTCTAAGACTTGGAAAGAAAAGTTTTGACTTGAGGTTCAAGTGTGATATTTTATTGCCCCCCCCCCCTGTGGTTGTCGGAGCAGGTGGAAAGCTTTAAACTCAATGCAGTAGTTTTTGATTATTCTCACAAGACTGTATAATAGTGTAAGCTTAAAGAAACTGTAGACGTACTTTCAGCGTTACTCTCGAGTTTCTAAAGTTGCATCACCTTTATCGTGTAAACCTTTATCCTTTCAACCTTTATCATTTAAACCTTTATCCTTTAAATCTTTATCATTTAAACCTTATCCTTTAAACCTTATCCTTTAAACCTTTATCATTTTAAACCTTTATCATATAAACCTTTATCCATTAAACCTTCATTATTTAAACCTTTATCATTTAAACCTTTATTCTTTAAACCTTTATCCTTTAAACCTTTATCCTTTAAAAATTCATCCTTTAAACCTTTATCATTTAAACCTTTATCATTTAAACCTTTATCATTTAAACCTTTATCCTTTAAACCTTAATCATTTAAACCTTTATCCTTTAAACCTTTATCCTTTAAACCTTCATCAGTTAAACCTTTATCCTTTAAACCTTTATCCTTTAAACATTTATCCTTTAAACCTTTATCCTTTAAACCTTTATCCTTTAAACCTTTATCTCTTCGTCTCTGTTGTTTAAATCCGCCCATTATATAGAGACATCACTAAAAGACAAAATCAATTTTTAAATTTAAAAAAAACAAGAACATCTTCATCAAACGGAGGTACCGGTGTGAATTTAGCATTACAGACATTTCCTTTAATGACTATTGCCTATATTTATGTTTATACATATTGATGCAGTAAACAACAGTCTAGACTCTAAAGTGAATTCATATATATGGTATCATTAGACAAGGGAATTCAGTCTGCGACAAACTGAATTGTTTTATTCCTTATATTATTGCACTCTGATGATATAAACTTTTCATATTTTAAACTTTGACAATTTGATTCGTCAGAATTCATAGTTTAAAGTGCTAGGTTAAACAGATATAGGGAATAGAAAATCAGAGTTTGGGGCAAAGACTCAATTCCTTTGGGTTAAAAATCTCCCAACCTCAGCGGGTAGATTTTGTTAATAAATAAAAGAAGTAAACATGTAGAAACTGTCCCGGCATTAAGTAAAGTACGATGGAAACCTTTCAGATAATTGAAATGAAACGGTGTGCAAGTGTTCGCCATCGAGAGACAAGTAGATTTCTTCGAGATCTGGTTCAGGATATTCTTAAATCTTCTCCGAGTATCCAACCCTGGGATACTAGGTTAGTATCCAACCCTGGGATACTAGGTAAGTATCCAACCCTGGCAAAAAAGGTTTGTATCCAACCCTGGGATACTAGATTAGTATCCAACCTTGGGATAGTAGGTTAGTATCCAACCCTTGGATACTAGGTTTAGTATTCAGCCCTGGAATTTTAGGTAAGTATCCAACCCTGGGATTCTAGGTTAGTATCCAACCCTGAGATACTAGCTTAGTGTCCATCAGTGGAATACTGGTCTAGTATCCAACCCAGGGATACTAGGTTAGTATCCAACCCTGGGATACTAAGTTAGTGTCCATCTTGGAATACTAGTTTAGTATCCAATCCTGATACAGATTGAATCCAACCCTGAGATACTAGCTTAGTGTTCATCAGTGGAATACTAGTTTAGTATCCAACCCTGGGATACTAGGTTAGTGTCCATCTTGGAATACTAGTTTAGTATCCAACCCTGGGATACTAGGCTAGTATCCAATCCTGGGATACCAGGTTAGTATCCAACCCTGAGATACTAGCTTAGTGTCCATCAGTGGAATACTAGTTTAGTATCCAACCCTGGGATACTAGGTTAGTATCCAACCCTGGAATACTAGGTTAGTGTCCATCTTGGAATACTAGTTTAGGATCCAACCCTGGGATTCTAGGCTAGTATCCAATCCTGGGATACCAGGTTAGTATACAACCCTGGGATACTAGGCTAGTATCCAATCCTTGGATACCAGGTTAGTATCCAACCCTGGGATACTAGGCTAGTATCCAATCCTGGGATACCAGGTTAGTATCCAACCCTGAGATACTAGCTTAGTGTTCATCATGTTCATCAATGGAATACTAGTTTAGTATCCAACCCTGGGATACTAGGTTAGTATCCAATCCTGGGATACCAGGTTAGTATCCAATCTTGAGATACTATCTAAGTGTCCGCAGTGGAATACTAGTTTAGTATCCAATCCTGATACAGATTGAATCCAACCCTTATTTCTAATAAATAAAACCCATTTTTTGTCTCTTGTAATTCGACTCTTATTCTTTGTTGACTAATTCTTAATCAAAATAAATTTTTACTGTATTTTCCTCAACCGCCACTCCTTCAAGGAATTCATGAAACGGATTTCATATTATCTGGATTACCCTGTATTAGAGATAAGAGAGTACAGAGATCTATTAAAAGCTAGAATATGGGATATTTTCTACAACGCGTTCCATTGTGAACAATTGGAGTACACAACCAATTAAAAGACATTTTCAGAGATATTTAAGGATCCTTTGGATCCGAAATAAAAACCTTCTAAATTAGAATAAATTGTTAAATTTTGTGTTCTACGTTAAAAGTTAGAGCACTTCTTTTAAAAATTGTAAAACTTAACCCCTGAATGGGTATTAGTCGTGGAAAGATGGCAGTCAAGAACCTTTTAATGGAATAAAACATGTCTTGACGGTACGACTATATGTCTACTTAGCCCAGCCCGTGAAAGCTAATAAGCAGTCTGTAAATATCTAGAATGTACCCTGTATATATCATGTATGCATAATGCAGGGTGTATACAGACATTTTTTTTTGGGGGGGGAGGTGGGGGAGTTCAACAATTTTTCAATACCTATAAGCCCCCTGTATATGCTTAAATCTACAATATTGAAGGATCTATCATGGGAGATTAGCCCTGGACGCAGAACTACAGAATCCTCTACTAAACAGGTGCATACATGGTTTCCAGATCATATTCATTTAAATACTATATACACTGGGTCTTGGTTTAAAAATTATTCTTCTAATGATGTGCTCAATAAATATGCAAGCGATAAATCAAGTGTGCTGTTGAAAGGAACCAATAATAACAAATTCTGCACAGTCGGCTCTAAAGTTTTATTCCTAGTGGGTAACCCTGTACATTAAACAGAATTACCCACAAAGAATGAGAATTCAGAAACGACTGTGCCAAATTTTTTTACAACCGTTTTATAATTTTTTTTATAATTTTCATAAAATCAAATGGTGCGAGGCAAAATTGATAATTTTAAATGTTCATCTTTTTTCTCCGTCTGCACGTCTGCAAGTTTTTTTTTCTTGTTTCCCTTTACCCGTCCATTTATGGCGCTGCTTTTGAATGAATGTTTACAAGTCGCTGTCTTTGCGCCATTATAAGACAGTGGACGATCACCCTTTCATTAATTAGATGTCCCCCCTCTGATTTTTGTTGGTTTTGCTTAATTGTAATAGCAGCCTCAGCACTGTACATTCTGTCTATTTGCATTTTCTAGATCACCACTCCTAGAACTTTAAGTTATTTTTTTATTTGCTGCGAGGGAGCAATAGCTTCCCTGCTTTAAACAACACATGTTAACTTTCATATAAAAGGAGAGTTGTCATTCCAACGAAGAATAAGCAAGCGACCCACTCAGAGATAATTTTGTTGTAGGATCTAACAGAGAAATGTCCTCAAGTCTCATTTCACTGTTTGTGAGAGGATTATTATATGGTAGGTAGAGGAGAGTAGAGATGAGGATGAGGGTTTGTAGAAGTGGCGTATCAGGAATGTTTTGTTAAAAAACACTCCATTTGTCCACATGTTATACTGTTTCCCAGTCCACCAAAATTACTTAGGTAGTATCAAATTTTCTATGCACCACTGCATGCAGAATTTAGAGTTGTCCTATTTTTGTCAGCTGTGGAGCAGGGCCCTTCCAGAAAGGGCTCCGATTCCTATGTGGAGTGGGTAAAAAACCGGATTAATTTTAGACATATTGGCTCTTTGTTATTACTATTTCTTGACTTGTAGTTAAGAAAGGAGGCTAGCTTATTGAGCACAAGGTTCATGGCCGCTTGGCCTTCCCTCCCTTCTTGGTCTTTCTCAGCGTCCACTGAAGATAGTGCAGAGAGCTTTCTGAGAAAAGCTCTGCTCTCTTAGGCTGTAGGAATGCAACTGAGACTGTGTGGTATATATTCCGCTTTTTCAGGTATTCTTGTCTCTCCCAGTTCATTTAAGACTAAAATACTTTCTAAAAACTTGATCAATATTTAAAGTAAAAATTCCAACTTCAACTATATAAGAAAGCTCTTCGCTCATATATATATTATATATGACCTAACCTAACAGCTGGACCAAATTGACTGACATTTTTTGGAGGTGACAAAGGTTTCTTTATTTCGGGCAACGCCGTGCACTTTAGCTAAATGATTCAATTCCAAGCGCGGGTAAACGTCAGGAGTAACTATGAGTAAATATGTTAACCTGGGCAACACCGTGCACTACAGCAATTGTATTTTCATATTTGAAGAATTTTCGTGCGTCAAGTGTAATTCTTTTTGGTTAACCTTGTTGGATTTATACTTTATTCAGGAGAAACATTTTAGAATTTAAGATTTTTTTCTGCAAATATATAAATACTTAAACTTAAAGGGCTTGTTCTTGTATTCATGTAATGTGGGAGGTATCAATTCTCAGATTTTCATAGAAAAATAATATCCAAGTTTTCTTACGTTCTGCGTTGATTAGAAATCTACACTAGACATTAGACATTGCCTTTCGCTTTTTAAACTCGAAAAAAATTTAACTTTCTTAATAAACTCATTGTAAAAGTTGATATCATAAGAATTTCTGAAGAAATAAATTAACAATATTGCGGACATATATTTGACATAACAGATTTTATAGGAAAAATGTGAAGTTCATTTTTTTGATAATCCACAAATTTAAAACAAAATTCCAACATTTCAGTGACTTTTCGAATTAGGCGGATCTTTAAGCGTTTGGACAATTATAATTGAGATTTTCTCCTCAGTTCAAAAAGTTTGTTGAAATCTAACTAAGTTGTCATGACGAGGCATTATAGTCTATTTATTTTCAAAACTGCGAGAAGAAATCTTCTAACAGATTAGTTCATTTACTCTCGTCATGTTTCTACAAGTATTTTTACACCTGGTTAGAAACAGTTAAAACTTGAGCTAAAGCTTAGATTATTTGTTTTTGCATTTCTACAATTAGATGATTGTATTAAAAGTTTTAAAATCCTTAAGTTCGAACAAAAGTACATGATAACAAGACTAACAAATGTGCAAAGTGGAGAATGTGAACATCATCACATTAAAAGTATTTTTTTTTAAATGTGGCACTTAAAGAATTAGCGATCACGCGTTATTAATAATTTTAAATTAACGTCAAAACCTTTGAACCGATAGGTCCAAACTTTTGTGGAGTATCTTACATGACTCCTGAGAAAATTTGCGGCCGTTTAAAATTAAAAAAATAATTGCAAAGAAATAATGTCATTTTTTGAAAATTCATCAATAAATCTGAAAAAAGTGCATAAATGATGCTTAGAATAAGAGGCGCCAAGCTCAAAAAAAACCGAGTAGGGCATTAAAAAAAAGAGAAATGTTTAAAGCCGCAATTTTCTTTATTTCAGTTCAAGAGAGCAGGGGAAGGATTCAGAAATCAACGAAGACGATCTAGAGGCTGATAAGAAAGTGTCTGGAGAGATTTTTAGCAAGCATGTTAATATTGATCAGTATTTGGGTGATATCGATGCCAGCTCTCAGCAGGGGTTTATGGAAGCTTTTCAGGGTAATTGTTTAATTTTTTTATAATAAAATGATGATAAAAAGTTTTAATGGTTCAGGAAAATCTTTCTTAAAGCTTGGAAAAGATAAGAAAAAGAAAAGTTCAGTTAGCTCAAATTCCAACAGAAGAGATTCCACAGGTAATTGGATAAAATTAACATCAACCATGTTACCATCCCTACCCACAATATTGTCGTTATTGACCCATATTTCATTTTTTTTGGTAATCCTATTCAAGGTTTAAAAAAATTGTATCCACATTCAAAAATCTACAATCCCCGGACATATCAATTATATTACATCTTTTTATCGACGGTTTTAGACATTTCTAAGCAAATTTAACATACTCGCTTTACAATCACTTTCCCTTTAAAGTTAAAGAAACAGAGTCGAAATTTGTGTGCTGAATCTCCGCATAATATTATTAATCTAAGGTTCTCCAGCTAAGTCAGGATTCCTGCTTACATTGGTAGATTTAAGATTTAAGGATTCCCTGTTGTAAGATTAAGTAATTTGTCATGTATCTAAAGTTCAGTCACTGAATGCCTAGCAATGAAAATTCCCGACTTAGATTAAAAACTTTAATATTACAGAGCCTGTAAAATCTGTTGTAAAGCAGGGTGAGCTGAAAGACACTGTCTCTGTGGAAAACTATAAGGTAAAAAGGTCACGGTTGTATTCAGAAATTGATGAATGGTCCAGGGGGGGGGCTCAGCTCCGTTGGTGGCCTCTCTTTCTAGGCTGAGAGACTGGTGAATCTTCTCTCTGTCTAGGTTGAGAGACTTATAATTCTTCTCTCTGTCTAGGTTGAGAGACTTATGAATTTTCTCTCTGTCTAGGTTGAGAGACTGGTAAATTTTTTCTCTGCCTAGGTTGAAAGACTCGTATATCTTCCCTCTGTCTAGGTTGAGAGACTGTTAAATTTTCTCCCTGTCTAGGTTGAGAGACTGGTAAATTTTCTCCCTGTCTAGGTTGAGAGGCTGGTAAATCTCTCCCTGTCTAGGTTGAGAGACTGGTAAATATCCTCCCTGTCTAGGTTGAGAGACTGGTAAATTTTCTCCCTGTCTAGGTTGAGAGGCTGGTAAATCTCTCCCTGTCTAGGTTGAGAGACTGGTAAATCTCCTCGCTGTCTAGGTTGAGAGACTGGTAAATCTTCTCTCTTTCTAGGTTGAGAGACTATGAATCTAAAACTAGTAGCGAATTTAGCCTTGGTAGCGTTTTTATAGTGTAGCGCTTTTAAGGGGTAGCGTTTTTATAGTGTAGCGTTTTTATAGGGTAGCGTTTTTATAGATACACCTCTAGGTTGAAAGACTGGTAAATAAATCTTCTCCCTGTCTAGGTTGAGAGACTGGTAAATCTTCTCTTTGTCTAGTTTGTGAGACTGGTAAATCTTCCCTCTGTCTAGGTTAAAACTGGTAAATCTTCCCCCTGTCTAGGTTGAGAGACTGTTAAATTTTCTCCCTGCCTAGGTTGAAAGGCTGGTAAATCTTCTCCCTGTCTAGGTTGAGAGACTGGTAAATCTTCTCCTTGTCTAGGTTGAGAGACTGGTAAATCTCCTCCCTGTCTAGGTTTAGAGACTGGTAAATCTTCTCCCTGTCTAGGTTGAGAGACTGGTAAATCTACTCCGGATGAGTAAAAGAACAGTAATCTTTACAGAAGTTCCAGACAACAAACAGTGTAATTGTAATTCAAGGTCAGGCATCTTAAAATAAATATTTCAATTGAATTTTCTTATTTTGTTTCTATTTCAGATTAAATTGTCAGAATTTGCCCCCATTTTCATACCATTGCATCGTTGCTCTATCCAAGCATGGTTTGGTACACTTTTGGATTCAGAATGGACATGACAGGTATACAAATATCATATAATGGTCTTTAGTCTATACTTTTTATATTTATTTCATCCAAAAGGATAAACAAGAAAAAGCAAAATGTCAATAGCTTTCCGGATGATTCGGTTGTGATCAATTGATCACAAGGGTTAGGATGACAGGGTTTGGGTTTGGTTGATCTCTGGGGTTTGGGTTTGGTTGACCTCTAGGGTTTGGGTGAACTTAAAGGTTGGGTTGATCTTCACGGTCGGTTGACAGAGCTTTGGTTAAACTCCAGGGTTCGGTTGATCTACATGTTTTGGTTGAAATTCAAGTTTGGTTGATCTCCATGTTTTTGTTGATATCCAGGTTTTAATTGATATTCAGGTTTCGGTTGATCTCCAGGTTTTGGTTGATATCCTGGTTTTGGTTGATCTCCAGGTTTTGGTTGATATCCTGGTTTTGGTTGATCTCCAGGTTTTGGTTGATCTCCAAGATTTGGTATATCTCCAAGTTTTGGAATATCTCCAAGTTTTGGTTGATCTCAAGGTTTTGGTTAATGTTCAGGGGTTGGTTGATCTCCAGAGTTTGATTAATCTACAGAAAAATCTCCCGGTTAATGTTATATCCAGGTTATGGTTGATCTTCAGGATACAGTTTTTCAAGAGGGTTAAGTTAATCACCAGGGTTCGGTTGATCTTTAGGGTTTGGTTGATCTCTAGGGTTTAATTGATCTTTAGAGTTTAATTGATCTCTAGGGTTCGGTTGATAACCAGGGTTCAGTTGATCATCTTGGTTTGGTTGATTGATGTTTAGGGTGCAATTGATCTTCAGGGTTCAGTTTGTATCTAGGGTTTGGCTGAACTCCAGGTTTGTATTGGTTGATCTTCAGGGTTCGTCGGATATTTAGGGCTTGGGTGATCTTTGGCGTTAGGCTGACAATCCAGGTTTTGGTTGTTTTTTTACAGTTCATTTAAGAAGAGTTTGACTGTAGGGTTTGGTTGATCGGGCTTGGGTGATCTTTAGCGTTAGGCTATTGATCCTAGTTTTGGTTGATCCTAAGCTTTAGGTTTTGGTTGATCATCAAGGTTAAGCTGATGATCCAGGGTTCGGTTGATCTCCTGGGTTGAAATGACCGTAAGGATTCGGTTAATCTCCTGGTTTTGCTTGATCTCCAGGGCGTACTGAAAAGAATGAGATAACTCATTTTAATTAACACAACTATGTTTCAAGTATTTGAAGCAAATAATAATAAATATTAATCATTTGATTAAATTTTTTTTTCAGCTTACCTATTCGAGCAGAGTTTCCTAAAGACCTATTTGTCGAAGTGTTTGAGTCCTGGCATACTGTTCCTAAAGACTCTTATAAACAGTTGACTGACCTCGTGAGACAGGAGGGAGAAGAATCTGATCTTGTGATTATTCTGAACTCTAATATGTCAGGTACAACTGCTGGAATACTCGCTGAAGCAGCAGATAGATCAACAAGTGGGTTATCCTACACAGAAGGAGGTTCTTTAGGATTTATAGTTGTTGGCTCAATGCAAACTAGGTTTGATGCAAAAGCAACGTTGAGGATAAACTCAGATCCTGATGATATCTTTAAGAAAGTTCTGGAAAATTTAGAGCTCTTGGATGATCTTGATCCTGATATTCTTAGTTCTAGACTTAAATTTGAGAAAGACAAAGCTTCACGGAAGGATTTAGTACAAAATCTGCATCTTAGTTTTGAAAATGAAGATCCAAGAAAATTCCATGGAAAAGTCTTTTTTGATAAATGTCTTTTAGCTCCTAATCGCGCCAAAGCTCTTACATTTGATGTACGACAAGTTACAGACCTGAAAGTTAAAACATTTTCAGAAATGATCAAAAAAAGTAAAGACACAATTGTTTACACTGAAACTTGCAATGATGACACACACAAGAATGATATCCGTTCTTGTTATCCTTATCTTGCTAAACTATCAAATGGTGAATACGTTAAATCATGGATAAATATGGGTACAGATGAAATGATTAAACAATCTGGATTTTCAGGCCAAATCTATGAAATTGAAGATTCTAAGAATGCAGAAGATATTTCAAAGTTAATGGAGGAAATCATTGATAAGTTTTCACATGCAGATCTTGCAATTATCTTTGGATGTGGGAGAGATATTTCTTCAAGGATAGCAGATCATATTTTCCAGAGATCATGCCAACCTTATCAGGATATTGGTGGCGCATTAGGAACCGTTCTGATTTCAACCACAGAAACAATCTTGGATGAACTTCTTTCTTTAAAGATGAATGATTCCCCAAACGAAATTTTGCCTAAGGTTATCATCCAACTAGAAGGGGCTGATATCTCAAGAAAATCAAGTAACGAGACTAAAATCAGTTCAAATTTTTCCTCCAGGAAAAACTCCAATAGTATTCAGGAATCTATGAGTAAAAAAAGCTCCCTGGCTAGCTGTAGTGTAGATTCTCATAGAGATTCAGTTTCAAACCAGCTTCACAGATATCCCTGGATAGATCCAACTGACAAGAAAATCAAGGACGGAAGACTATTTGCAGAAACCGACACTGAGTTTCAAATTTTATCCGCATCAAATCCAGATCGAGATTGCTCCAAAGTGTTAGCAGTTAAAGCTAATACAATTATATCTTTACTAAAGATCAGCAAAGAAACTGTTATTTTCCTTGATTCAGTTCCAAGTGTCCTAAAAAACAATAGAATCAATGAAGATTGCATTTTTAATCAACTCAATAAATCAGGACAGCTGAAACTACAACTGCTGAGAACCATGAATTCTTGGAAACTTTTTCATATTTTGATTCAAGTTGGACATGATGGAATCCCACAGAAAGCTGGGGTAATAGAAAACCAAACATTTGAGATGTATCCAGACTGGAACTGTAATGAGTTTTTTAAACCTGACCTTGACAAGATTGAAACCTTCATTGAGAAAGCTGATCTAGTTTTGTTCATTTCAGACCATTTGAATCAGTTCCAAGCGTCGCTGAAACTTTTAAGCGAGAAAACTAAGTTAGGTTTAAGATTTGAGGATGGAGGTTCCCTTGGCTTTGTTCTGGTTTCTCCTGGACCAACAGAGATTGACCCGTTATGCACAGTGCGGGTAAACTGTGAGAAGCAAAGGTTTATGAAGTATCTTTTATCAGTGATGAATAATTTGGAAACATTAGAAGATTTTGAAAGAAAATGTTCTGCGTCGGAACACAGGAGTTATTTCAGGTTTCTTCTTCAGGAAGATCAACAACAAAAAGATCAAAAACAAGAAGAACAAGATGAAGAAGAACTGGAACAAGAAGATCTGGAGCAAAAAGAGAAAAATATTCATGGAACTATGTTATTCAATTTGAGGTAAATCTAGTATTTTTTTCCATAAAAGGGAAAAATTTCTATTCCTTCAAATCTTTAATTTAGCGGCAGACACGATAATTTTGTGTTGAATATGAACAATGCATGTTTATAAACATCTAATACAAGTTTTTCATTTAATAATTCCAAAGGCTTTATTCAGACCTTGGGGCTTGCTAGACAAATTACATAAATATATGGATGTTACCTAAACATGTGTTTATTAGCAACAATTTGTATTAATAAAAAAAAAGACAAGACAAAATTAATTTCTTACTACTATCAGCATTGTTAAGTCATGAATAAGTAAATACTAAAGTTTTTATATATTTTGATGTTTCTATTTTTAATTATATTTTAGAAAATCTTCTGAAGAATTCAATTTAGAAGAAACTAAAACCAATTTGTTTATTCACTTGGTAAAGTCTAGTAGACGAACTGTAATCTATACTAGCTCTCAGGAAAAGTTAATAACTTCATAAAGTTGGTTTATCACTGAGATCTACATCATTTTTGTAATCCTACATAATGAGGAATATCAGTGGCTACTGATACAGGTGTCTCAATAGTCATGAGAATTTGGAGATGACGCAAAAATTGTTTTTGGATATGTGTGTTCATGGTAATTCCTTTAACGGAAAAACTATTATTTTTGTGTTTATGAAAAAATACCATGTGGATTAAAGACGTTAAAAAAATCGTCACAAAATTTCCAAGTTTTTTTTTGACATAGCAAAAAATAGTAATAGTCTCATTCTCTACTTCTCAAATCCTTATATATTTGCAACCTGATGTCGTAGACCTTTGCTATTTCATACTTTAAATTCTGATCGATCAAATGGTTCAGGTTAGAATCATCAGAAGAAGAGAAAACTATATTTTGCGGTCGGTAATCAACTTCTTTTCTATGATTTGTATATCAACTTTGGTTGGTCAGGATGACCCAGTCCGCCTACCTGGAGCCCTGTACGGAGCTAAGTGTGGTATATCAGACCCGGAGAATAAACCCAGTTCTCTACACTTTCTCCTGACTACATTATACAACCATAACCTGGTTCAAGCCTGGGTTCAACACGGACATGACGGGCTACCTGCACAGGCGGGCTTCCCAACACACTTGTGTCTAGAGGTTTACAATTCCTGGTTTCAGGCACAGATTATACAGATAGAACAAGAGATGTCTTAATTAATTAATGAAGCCTTTCATCATTTTGTTAACTAAAAATTGAACTTAAAAAGACTGTAAACGTAAGCTTAACTGTTAACGTAAGCTTAACTGAAGACTGAAGAGTTGCATGCCTGATTCACAACTGTACACTTTACACTTTTATCTAAGAAACAATATATCGTCGTTTTCGTATCTTAAAAGTGTTGATTTTTTTCAAATCCTTCTTTGTTTCTTCTGCATAATACAAATTCACAATACAAATTTTTACAAGTTTTTGCTCTAAAAAAGGTTTTAAGGGTACCTTTGATAATAGGACATGCCACTCAAGATGAGGGGTTACTTTAAATATCTTTTAAAGTCTTTTCAAAGCTCTTCTACAGCTTAAGATTTTTAATTGATGATGGAATCATGTTTTAAATTTACCCAATTACATAATCTCATGTCTTTTTTGTTTAAATTGTGTTTTCAGGATGTCCACAAAAGTTTTACGGAAGAGCTTAACAGGGTGAGTATTGAGGGGGGTACGGCGGATCTACTAATAGTAATTGGAGATATACCTGAGGGACCATTGTCTGATAAACTCACGCAGACCCCACTAGATGGTGCTGGAGTTGGTAGACAATATGAGGATGGGGGAAGGTTGGGAGTTGTTCTCCTCAACTCCCAACCAATAGAGTCCTGTCTAGGACGGTCGACTTTAATCTTATACTCCGATCCTGTGAAGATACTGCGAAATGTATTGCTGAGCATGAATATAGATATAATATCTGAGGTGCCTAGAATACTACCTTGTAAACACCTAGATAAAGCGATTGTTCCTTACAATCACGCCGGGAGAAGATCTCAAACCGAGAATATACTTCTAAACTTTCAGGTAAAAAATGTGCAATTTCATTTTCTAACTTCTACTGATTTTTACAAAAACAAGTAACTTTTTATTAATGACAGCTTTTGTTTGTTAAGGTCGGAGAACGAATACGTCTTTCATCAGATCATGATCATTCCTTGAACCCCGGATACAGTTTCCTCCGTCCTCTCTCTGTTCAGGAGAGGGCAAGGTTGCATAGCTCCGGTCCTAAGGTTGGGTCTGTAATAAAGTTCTTACCGGATAAATGTTCTCACGAGGTAGAATTTACTTATTTAACAACAAGCTTAAATAAATGTTCTTTTCATGCACATAAGGCCGTATAGGGCTCTGACCAGCCTAACTTAAAAGTATGTCTGCCGCATGTAAGGGATAGCATAAATTGCCGGGCCACTGTTAAAAGAGCTTGTGGATTTCCATAGAATAAATGCCCAAGAAAATGGTTGAAATTTACCCAATGATTGATTTAAACATCACAAAGTCTCAGATACTATTTCTAGGTTGTTTTACCGGGTATTATAATGAATCTTTTACGTTTAAATTTAATTAATTGATTTAAATTGATTTATTTAATTATTAGGTGCGTATCCTTGGCATCCCAATGCTTATCGGGTCCTGGTGGCTCGAGGCAGCATCTAGGCAACAATTATCTAAAAATAATAATAAATACAGAATTGATACCTTTTATCCGGAAACTATTGTTTTTGTATCGATGATACAGTAAATTCAAGATATATGAATACATAGCACTAAAGTTTTTTTTACAATTTCGTATTCACAACGTATTTAAGATTAAATGCCGCGGAAAAACGAGTTTAATATATCAATTGATGTCCTTTATATTTCAGGACTATTAATTTACCTTGAATTAGAATAAAAAAGCAGTTTCTTAAGAATTATCAAAAAATTTATCATTTTATGATATTTGAATATATTTTCTCAAATCCTATTCAACCCTTTGAAGCTGTGAACACCTCGGCGGCTTTCTCTTTGTCCAGACCGATGATGAAGAATTACAACTGTCATTAATTTTAAAATTAATTTCAAGACGACATTTCATGCGCTCTTGCTATGTACTCTTATATGTGAGATTGGCTGTATGGGAATTGAACTTTATTATTTATTTTATTTTTGAACTCTTTTTTTAAGTATTATAAAAGTGTTTCAGTATTAAAAAAGCAAACTCCATTATGCTATTGGAAGTTTTTTAACTGTTAAATTTCCAAACTGTAAAGTTATCCCTGGACAAATATGCTACAGGGTGTCCCAATAAACATGGAAATTCAGAGACGACTTGATTATCGTCTTCGATTTCCAAAGTTAGGGAAAGAAATCGAGTTTTTGCAACACACTCTGATTTTCTATCTTTGATATCCAATGTCGTAGACTTTAGATATTCTAAACTATGAATTCTGTTGGATCAAAGATTCTAAGTTTCAAATATCGAAGGTTTACATCAATAAATTGCGTAAAGATATAGGGATCGAAACTTGAGTCAAGAACTTTACACTTTGGGAGATTTACATCTGTGTAATGTCACCAGGGAAATTACTGATTGGGAAATTACTGATTGGGAAATTACTGATTGGGAAATTAATGATTGGGAAATTGCTGATTGGGAAATTACTGATTGGGAAATTGCCTCTTGGAAAGAACTTTTTTAACTTTTTTAAAGCTTTCAATCAATGTTGTGAGTAAAAGTTTACAGTTTAAATTATATTTGTTTAACTTTAAAAACTCACAAAAAATTGAATAATTAATCAAAAATTCATTTTTCCAATTTTTCCAATTTGTATTTAAATTCTTGTTGAAATCCAGAGGACTGCCTGCAACAATACCAATAGTCAACTGTGATCATAACTACCACCATGGAGTTTGCTCACATTAAACATTTTGAAAGTGAAATAAAATAATTCTTTTTCTGTCAAGTTGTTCCTTGTGACTATAGTTAGCATTGATTAGAAATCCTATTAATTAAGTCTTGACAAGTCCCTGGCCAATATTGGATTGTAATTAACAGTGTAATAGTGTGTAGATAGTCATTACAAGTTTATGGATAGTAAGTAAAATAGTATGGTTAGTAATTTACAATCATTTTAAGTGAATAATTTTGAAAAGTTAGTAATAAATGTTCAGTTAACTTAAAAATTTATTTTTAAGAGTTGTACTTATTATTTATAAGGCTTGATATGGAAGTTGAGCTGAAAGACCTATGAGACATTTTTACGGTGTAAAATTGTTCACAAGAGCGCAAATTCAATCTTTAAAATCCTCCTTTATTGTCCATTCTGCAGGGCTGATTTTGATAATCGTTATTGTAACATTTTTTCATCGTCGTTATTGAATTATTAAAAAAAACGATTCTCAAAATCAACCCTTCAGAATGGACAATAAAGGAGGATTTAAAGATTGAATTTGCGCTCTGGGTGAACAATTATTCATCGTAAAAACGTTCAGAGAAGCCAGAATTGAAAATAATAAAATTTCAGCTAGTGACATGTGGATATCTCATTTATGTTTGACCAGTAAAAGAAGAATGGAAGGACCTGTCACTACTTAATGAAGTCGTTTTAAGGATGTTTTACCTCAATTAAGTGTGTGTTTGGTTTTTAGGAAATTTTACATCAGAGTCCGAATTTAAAGAATTTGAGACGCGGCTCAAACATGGATGGTTCCACTTGAAATTGTATTCAGTGCTTCGAGATTTGAGCCTTCGCTCAATTGAAACCGGTTTTTGGCGGTTCAGCGACGCGGTTTAAATTCTTTTAATTCTGCCTCAGGAGTTTCTCTTCCAAAAATTTGGGTTTAGGAAGTTGAACCTCAAGAGTTTGGTTTTTAGGAAGGTGTGCATCAGGAGTTTGGTTTCCAGGAAGTGTACTTAAAAAGTTTGGTTTTCAGGATTTTATACTCCAGGAGTTTGGGGTTCAGGATTTTATGCTCCATGAGTTTGGGTTTCAGTAAGTTGTATTTCAAAAGTTTGGTTTCTGCCCTACTATGAATGTAATGTGTATTGAATATGATATCTTTATATCTTAAGAAGGTTGAAAATATTTCCTAAATGTCATTTTTATGGAAATATATTGAAGGAAATTCTTTTTGAAACATTAAAGGGACTGTAGGCGTAATTTCAAGTGACCCTTTGATCATTTTTTACGTGGCATGTGCAGTTGTCAAAACTACCCCAAAAACATTGGTCTGATCAAGGATAACAGAGATAAACTTAGTTTTCTAGCTAATTTTGGAAACCTTTGACGTCATTTGCACGGTGTGAACACGCACCGTTTAAACTTTGTTTATGATAAAGACAAAATATTATTTGTTATAAAAATTAAAAATAAGTAGTTTCTTTTTCTCTCATATTTAAGAGATTTTGGATAGACGATCGTACATGAAACTTAAACTAATATTTAATATTTAACTTACATTCTGATATCCCCACGGCCCCCTACCCTGCATTTCCATTTTCCCCCCCCCCCCATATAGAAAAAAATCACTTATTGTCTGCCCTTTTATAATATGCTTGTGAAATCTATTTTAGTTACAACTTTTCCCCCAAATTATGCACGTACTAAATTTTAATTAGTTAATGATATTCTTTCGAGTTCTTGTTCTGTGTTTGTTTGTTAATGTTTTATATGAATGATGTTTTGAAATTCTATGTTTGTTGAAAACTGGAGTTGACAGAATCAATTGGATAAATCAGGCTGAACTCCTATTCTCTCCTATTCTCATATATTCTCCTAAACTCTTAAACATTTCAGGATAAAGTCTTATAAACCTTTCAAAGAAATGAAATTCTAATTAACTTAAAGAAAAAGGAATCTTTACATCAAGTGAACCCTGAAGAGACAGTAGACGTAGTTTTAATCGACCCTCCCCATTTGATGAGTTTCACGCCTGATTCCCAAAAAGGAAGGAAATGGACAGAATAAATCTCTTTTCAAGCATTAAACAACGATGACGTTTTCCTCGTTTTACAAAGATAAAGGTTTAAATGGTGACGCTTCTAGACGCAGTTCAATTAATTAAAGTTTGGTCTAAGCGGTTCAAATTGTTGAAATTCAACCTGAGAAAAGGCTTGGTTCCCAAGCTTGTATATTATATAAGAAGAGAATATGTACATTATAAATCTATGTATTGGTCTGACTAGAGTTAATAATCAAACATCATTACACGACAGGGACGGTTCATTAACCAGCACGGGTGCCAAAAATATCATAATATCAAATACATTGTAGATTCGGCTAGAGAGCAGACACATGACCCTGGTACACTCAGAACAAGTTCAAATTAGTTTCAAAATGTCGTCTTTTGTTTAAAAACAACTGGTTGTGCAATTAATTTTTTGAACGATATTAAGGTTCAATAGTACATCAGCAAGGTTTACTAAATTTGTTAGTTTTAAAATTGGTTTATCAAATGCCTTTAAGAAGTCCAAAGTTGAAAAATTCCTGTATTTTTCCACTATAACAAAGGAATTGAGTTTTTGCCACAAACTTAAATTTTCTAATTTTTATATCTTTCCAGTCTAATAATGTAAGCGTTTCATATTTCAAACTTAGGTTATTTGATCTTACAGAAGGCATAGCTCGAAATATCTAGGGTCTACGACATAGGGCTGCAAAAATATAGGAATTATAAAATCAGAGTTTGTGGCAAAGACTCAATTCGTTTTGATTTTTTGTATGACCTTTTTGTTGATTTTTGACATGTCTTGGCACAATCTAATGTTAGATGAATAATCAAAAGTTGATTAATTTTTTCCCCGGCGTTGCCCGTGGAATTTCGAAAACAATGAAAATAAAAATTAATTTGAATTAATTTGTGTTAAGCCTATGTTTCTCCATGGGTATTGGGTACCCATGGGTTTCCTAAAAAAATTCAGCAATTTGAAAAGTAAGATGTATTTCATATTATTCTAATAGCGTTGAACAGTTTGCATTCAATAAGAGCTAAGAACTGGAATGGGAACGCGATTTTCACAGTGGCGATTTATTAAAGAGAGAAAAGGCGCTTTTATATCTATCCCCAACTCTATCTATCATTGACAAATTGATTCATATTATTATTATCAATGGTGTATTTTATAAAACATTCTATTTTAAAATCACTTGATAATAAGAAGTTCTGTAAGTACATAATTGGTTAGGTTTACGGAATTAAACTCTTGTTAATAATTACTCCTTAGAATCAGCAGTTTAATAGCACCAAAACTGCCGCATGGCCGGGTTTAATTTATCTTGATCATTCATTAAAAAATCCGAGATTTTACCAACCAACTTAAAACTTATTTGATATTCTCAAATTCAAATAAATTATTTACTTTTTTCCGACAAAAAAAATATTCATATAAATATTTTTGTTGTTCTTATTGTTGTAAGTATATATATTTATTAAGCAGGTTTGCATATGTTTTTTAATTATAATTTATTACTCTATTTTTTGTTTCTTCTCTGACGTTTATATGATTATTTGAATGGATAGATGTGTAGTGGTTGTATGTAAGGATAGATAGATAGATAGATAGATAGATAGATAGATAGATAGATAGATAGATAGATAGATAGATAGATAGATGGCTCGTTTCTAGAATATTGATATTAAGAAGCAATTTATTGTAATAATGCTATTATCAGTTTATGATAAATTATTAGAGTAAAGATTTAGATCCGTTGTATGTATTGTATTTTGTACATATATACATACATACATTCATACACACATTTATACATTATTCATTTTCATTACATAAATAAGGGATGTCACAAAAACCAAGAGACGTTCAAAAACTGTTTACAATTTTTCATTACTTATATGTTACAGAATTTTTAGATTTTAACAAGCAGAGTTGAAAACTTTTAAACTTTTTAAGTTAAGCTTCACAAATTTAACTGAACAGGTCTTTTAAAAATTGGAGTTTCATTCATTAGAGTTGTAAGTAGCTTTCAGCAGATCTAGTAATTAGAGTTTTAAGTAGCTGTCAGCAGATCTAGTAATGTCCCTTTAAACCACTTTAACTCATTGATTTTGTGTCCATTGAAATTTTTCCGTCTCCAACTATTTTTCATAAAGATTAATGCATTGCTTTTCTTTAAAATTCAAAAAAAGCAAACAAATTAAAAAAGGATTTTATTGGAAGAATCAAAAATTAATTGAGAATGCCACTTTTCTCTCTATCAGAAAAAAAAAGTATCTTTTAAAATCGTTTCCGACGTTATTGATTTATTTATTTATAATTGTATGTACATAATAACTCGTTAAAAAAAAAATCTTGTGATAAATTCATATTTTCAACAATCTTGTAAACCATATAAACAATGATACTCAAATAAATATCTAGATTTAAAAAAAAAAGAAATTATTTGTTTTTAAAAGTATCTTCCGCAGAACTTTACCCAGCACCCTAAACATTTCCCATTCTTCAGAATATTTTTGGGACATCATTTGATACATACCATGCATGTGGAGATGATTATTTATAGATGATTAATATTGAAATAAGGAGTGAATATACGATATAAATAACTATATAGATGCAAAAAAACAATATAGATGTTCATACATTGTATATATTTCAATAGAATAATCCCACCACTCGATAGATTTGAAAGTGAATAATTATATATTAATTACCCATTCATTATGTGTCACTTTCGTTAAAATTCCAAAAACTTGAACAGTAAAATCAGGCCCAAAGTCTGGTGGGAAATTGAATCATAATTTTCCCTTCTTCTGAAAAATCTCTTTTTACTAATTTAGTTTTATTGGACCAAACAAAATCTCGCAAAGGCATGTAAAGCAGTATTTAAAAGCTAAAACTGTCTGTGCGTGCCATTAAATTAAAAATTTTTACATAAAACCAAAGTAAAATATACGTAAGATTTAAAT